AGTTATCGTAAATAGTCGAGAAATATAAAGTTTCGAAAAGCGCAGTTTATAAAATTTATACAAAATATTTACAATACAGGGTGCACGATTTATCTGAAGACATTGAAATATCTCGAGAACTATGTATTGGATAAAAAAAAGTGGTTAATAAAAGTTGTTAGTCTCTAAGGGGGACATCCAATGATACCAAACTCGACCTCCCACCCCACCCCCTGGGGGTGGGGGTTGGGGGCAACTTTGAAATCTTAAATGGAAACCCCCATTTTTTATTACAGATACGGATTCTACCCTACAAAATACGTAAATTTTGTCCGAAACTTTTTTTTTGATTCGTGACAGATGGCGCTATAATCGCAAAAAATTATATTTTCCGCAATTCTCCAGAAATGATCATTGGATTGAGAAATAAAAAATACCTGTTGAATATTTTTAAAGAACATAATAAAAGTTATTCCGCCCCCATCCTCTCGGGGTAGGGTGGGTGATAACGTTCAAATCTCAAATGGAGACCCACATTTTTCATTGCAGAATTAGATTGTACGTGAAATTTTTGTTGAAACAATTTTTTTCATTCGTGATAGATAGCATTGCACTGCCTTTTATAATAAGCCGTAGTTCGCCATACACCCACAGTGGCGCGTCGAGCAGTTCCCTCTTCGATTCGGGTTCCCACTTGAGATTTGAACGTTACCACCCACCTTACCCCGAGAGGATGGGGGGGGAATAACTTTTATTATGTTCTTTAAAAATATTGAACAGGTATTTTTTATTTCTCAATCCAATGATCATTTCTGGAGAATTGCGGAAAATATAATTTTTTGCGATTACAGCGCCATCTATCAACGAATCAAAAAAAAAGTTTCAGACAAAATTTACGTATTTTGTGGCGTAGAATCCGTATCTGCAATAAAAAATGGGGATTTCCACTTAAGATTTCAAAGTTGCCCCCAACCCCCACCCCCAGGGGGTGGGATGGGAGGTCGAGTTTGGTATCATTGGATGTCCCCCTTCGAGACTAACAACTTTCATTAACCACTTTTTTTTATCCAATGCATAGTTCTCGAGATATTTCAATGTCTTCAGATAAATTGTGCACCCTGTATAATACTGTTGAAAATGTACTGTTGACATGGTCAGGAATGGAGACGTAACACAAGTGCATACAATGACAGAAGAATTGTGAGAGAAATTCAATGTAACCCATCGACAACATCACGAAGAATTGTTGAACAACTACAATTAAACATATCTTCAAGAACTGTGAGACGAAGATTAAAAGAGGTGAGTTTAAAGAGTTGTATAAGTAGATGTAAAGCATATATTAATAAAGTGCATAAAAGAAACGTTTAGCTTTTGCAAAAAAATATGTAAATGAGCCATTATCATTCGGGAAACGAATAATATAGAGCGATGAAAGTAAATTTGAATTATTGAATAAAAAAGAAAGAGCATACGTGTGGAGAAAACCGAATGAAGCTTTAAAGTAGCAATATGTTGTATCAACAATCAAGTATGGAGGAGATGCAATAATGCTATGGGCTTGTTTTTCGTGGTATGGGATTGGAAATTTAGTAGCTATAGATGGAATCATGAATGCTGATAAATATATTGGGATTTTAAATGAAAACTTAGAAGAATCAATTCTAAAAATGGATCTCGATAAGGAATGGATGTTTCAGCAAGATAATGATCCGAAGCACACAGCAAAGAAATCGAAACAATTTTTCCAGAATTTTAAAATAGAAGTTCTTGAATGGCTTCTACAAAATCCAGACCTTAACCCAATCGAAAATTTATGGAGTTTACTGGATGCCCAGAGATTCCATTAGAAAAACATAATAATAAAGAAGATTTTTAAATGAATTGCAACTAAAATTTCAAAGAACTGATGAACATCTGCAAAAACTTATTGGAAATATGCGACGACGTTTACAAAAAAAGCAGTAATGAAAGCAAAAGGCTACAATACAAAATATTAATATTTACTTTCTATAGTGTTCATTTAATTTTGACCATGTGCAATTTTATGTTATTATCATTAATCAATAAAAATTCAAATATATTGTTTGTTACAATTGGTTTTTCTTTATATTTTGTCAAATTATACATCGTTAATTTAAATAAGCAAAAAAGGTTTGATTTTTCGACATTATTAGTTAAATTAAATTAACCTTTCGTTATTTATGATACCTGTCCACTTAATTTTGTCCACGACTGTATATGCACTGGCGGATTCTAAGGGAGGTTTTGGGATCAAACCCCCCCTTCCAAATTAAAAATAATCAGTTTTATTACATCTGTTTAAAAAATTTAGGTAAAATGGTACAGGCCGATTAACACACAGGCGCCCGTGAATCGAAGTCTTATGTCTAGAATTCACTGTATCTAAACTGTTCAATTTCTTATATACAATATCCGCTGTTGCTTGCTGAGAGTATATTAATGATGATGAAAAACCTCAAAATTACAGCATTATTGTATTTACAATTTTATTAAAACCCCCTCCATTATCGACGTCAGGGTCCGCTAGTGTATACGAGGGCGGTCCGATAAGTACTTAGCCTCACCGCCCGATGGCGCCACTATCGCAAGAGAAATTTACTATCGTGTAGTACATTCTCGTAGACGGCTACTGTCGAAATTTCAGCCGAATCGGACTCGTAGTTTTGTTTTGATCGCGTGTGGAAGCGGGCGTGTCCGCGGATTTTAGAAAAATGAAAAAAGAGCAATATCGGTCGGTGATTCGATTCTTGTTTTTGGAAGGGAAATCGCGCAGCGAAATCAAATAGCGCTTGGATGCTGTGTACGGTGACTCTTCTCCTTCGATGGCGACCGTCAAAAATTGGTTTAACGAGTTTCAACGTGGTCGCACGTCGGTTTTTGATGAGCCACGCCCAGGTGCCCCGAAAACGGCTACCACGGAGGATAACATGACAAAAATCCACGATCTCGTATTGGCAGACCGCCGATTGAAGGTGCGCGAGATAGCTGAGACAGTAGGCATCTCAAAAAACCGCGTGGGTCATATCCTGCATGAAATTTTGGGCATGAGAAAGCTGTCGGCGCGATGGGTGCCGCGTTTGCTCACTCCGGACAACAAGCGCAACCGTGAGACCACTTCAGAGCAGTGTTTGACGCTGTTTAAGCGCAATCCGAAGGAATTTCTGCGTCGTTTCGTGACCGTCGATGAAACATGGATCCACTGGTACACACCAGAGACGAAGGAACAGTCGAAACAGTGGACTTCACCCGGCGAACGTGCTCCGAAGAAGACGAAGACTGTCCTATCGGCCGGAAAGGTGATGGCCACCGTTTTCTGGGATTCACAAGGTGTGATCTACATCGACTACCTGGAGAAGGGCAAAACGGTCACAGGGCTGTACTTTGCCGAATTATTGGGCCGATTCGACGCCGAATTGCAGAAAAAACGGCCCCATTTGGCGAAGAAAAATGTGCTCTTCCATCATGACAACGCACCGGCTCACACCTCCGCTCTCGCCACAGTCAAATTGGTCGAATTGGGCTACGAACTGCTGCCCCATCCACCGTATTCTCCAGATTTGGCCCCGTGCGACTTCTTTTTGTTTCCAAACTTGAAAAAGTCACTCGCCGGGCAGAAATTTGAGTCGAATGAGGAGGTCATCGCCGCCACGGAGGCCTACTTTGCAGACCTTGAGAAAACGTATTTTTCAGACGGGTTAAAGAAGTTGGAACATCGCTGGGTCAAATGTATCGAGCTAAAAGGAGACTATGTTGAGAAATAAATCGCCACTTTTCCAAAATTTTCGTTTTTCTTTTGTAGGCTAAGTATTTATCGGACCACCCTCGTATATGTATATACCGAGTGTTTTAGACCACACGGATCACCCAATATTTTCGTTAACGCGACATTTTAGAGAAAAATATTTCAGACAAAAGTTATAGGGCTTCAAAGAACCTATTCACTGACGCTATGAATTTGACCTTGGAATAATCTTGAAAAGTCCAGTCAATAGCAACATAAAATCTTAAATGGATATCCCAATTTTTTATTACACCATCTTCTTTTAGCAATTAATTTGAACAACTTTGGTTTGGAACATTTTTTTATTTACTTAATATTTTTTGAGATATTTAAGAAAAACTTGATAATCTTTTCAATATTTAACTCACGATATTTCGCTAACTATTTGTCAGAAGAAAAAGTGGTATTAGATTTTTTTGCTCTATTTAGTCTCAAGAATATATTTTTATAATAGCGCCCAGACTTTTGTCAACTTTGATTTCTGGAAATTTTGAAATCATCAATTTAAACAAATTCAGGGCGCAATTGGAATAATATATTCTTGAGATTAAATAGAGCAAAAAAGTCTAGTATCATTTCTTTTCTGACAAATAGTTACCGAGATATCGTGAGTTAAATATTAAAATAGTTATCAAGTTTTCCTTAAATATCTCAAAAAATATTAGGTAAATAAAAAAATGTTTCAGACAAAAGTTGTTCAAATTAATTGCTAGAAAATTAATGCTAGACAAAGATGATGTAATAAAAAAGTTTGGGTATCTATTTAAGATTTTTATGTTGATCTTGACTGGATTTTTTAAGGTTACCCCAAAGTCAAATTCATAGCTCCAGTAAATAGATCTTTTGAAGCCCTATAACTTTTGTCTGAAATATTTTTCCCTACAATGTCGTGTTAACGAAAAAATCGGATGACCCAGATGGTCTGAAACACCCGGTACATACAGGGTGTCCCAAGTTTTTCCGTACAAACTTTAGTAGAATGTTCTATGAGCAGAAATAAAAAAAAATGTTATATAAACATAGGTCTCAAAATGCTTTATTAGAAAGTTATAGCAAAACATAAAATTTTACGTTGAAGAAGTGAGTGTACATAAGTAAGTGGTACGCCGTTAAATGATGTTTATCTTATCCGCTTCTTCTTGTTGTGTTTACTGTTTGAAATAGTTGAAGGTGATCATGAAAACTATAAAATCAACTAAATCAAGAAACACGGTAGTCTTTCGCGAACTGTCGAGTTACGAGTATTTCAGATTATTCGCTAGTAATAACAAACAGTGAACATTGTCTCAAAATGCCGCGAGTTTTCACAAACGAAGAATACACGGATATTCATTATGTACGGTTTGTGTGCAGGAAATGCAAGGGCTTCTACTAGATAATATGAACGAAGATTCTCTAACAGAAGAGTGCCGCATCACACAGTCTTTACCAATGTTCATTTGCAATTACGTTCGACGGGTACATTTCGTCCGTTGGCAGAATGTGGAGCTATACGTAATTATCGTCGTTCTCAAAGAATTCTTAATATGTTTAATAATGATCCTACTACAAGTATTCGACGAGCGTCATATCAGCTCCAGCTATCCCGAAGTATGGTTTGAAGAACATCGTGAACTGATAACAGGTACCCGTATCATTTCACACCGGTACAAGTACTTTTGCCAACCGATCACGAAAAGCGAACACAATTTTGCGAATGGTACGTGCAACAAATACAAGAAGATGATTTTTTCCCATCAAGAATACTATGGATTGACGAGGCTACATTTACGAGAGGTGATGTTTTCAATTTTCGTAACAACCATGTATCGTCACATGAAAATCCATACGCTGTTCGAGAAACAGCTTTTCAACATCAGTTCAGCTATAATGTATGGATGGGCATGTACAACGACTAATGGTAAAATTGTTAAAACGCTAATTGGTTCACATTTCTTGCCAGAACGTTTAAGTGCACATTCTTTTTTAAACTTTCTTAACAATGATTTAGCAATTGCTCTCGAAGATGTACCTTTACTATCTCGCTAACACATGTGGATACAGTTAGATGGATGCCCAGCACATTACGGAAGACAAGTACGACAGTGGTTAAACGGACATTATACCGAAAGGTGGATTGGTCGAGGAAGTCCGATATCTTGGCCTCCAAAATCACCAGATCTTACGCCATTCTTCTACTTGTGCCAGACTTCTACTTGTGGGGGACAATGAAAGAAAAAGTTGATCGAACACAAATCATGTTAAGAAATGAACGAATACAAAGAATTATCGACGCAGCTGCAAAGATAAAATAAAATCCGCAAGAAAGTTTTAGGGTGATAAATTCAGTAGTATATTGATAGCTTGTATTGACATGGGCGGACGGCATTTTGAAATGCGAACTTAAGTGAAATTGTTTCTTACATTTTGTATTTTATTTTTGCTATAACTTTCTAATAAAGCATTTTGAGACCTATGTTTATATAACATTTTTTTCTTCTTTCTGCTCATAGAACATTCTACTAAAGTTTGTACGGAAAAACTTGAGACACCCTGTATATTAGGTTGTCTAAAAAGTATTGAGCCTTTAAAGGTTAAAATTGAGAATACATTTATTGTTATTTGAAAATGACATTATGAAACCACATATGCACCATTTTGTACGGTGACCTTCTGCCATTTTTCCCGCAACACTATAAATCCATCACTATAGAACTTCTGTGGTTTCTGGTCAAAAAATTGTGACACGTGGTTTTCACAAGCCTTTTTTGAAACTAACTTAACACCATTCAAGGAGTTCTGCAGAAACCAAAACAAATGATAGTCTGATGGTGTCAGGTCCGGGCTATACGGTGGATGTATTAAAACCTCCCAGCCAAGTTCTTTCAATTTCTGATGAAGGTCGTTAAAGATGTATGCGGTCTGGTATTGTCAGCATGATATACGACACCCTTTCTGTTGACCAGTTCCGGCCATTTCTTTTGAATTGATAGGTGCAATCACGCTAATTGTCGACAGTACAGGTCCGAGTCTATCGTTCTGCCTGGCGGCAGCAGCTTGTGATGCACGATGCAATCCCACCCTTCCAATCCCATCAAACACATAGCATAACCTTCCTGAGCGTCAGTGTGAGCCACAGACTGTGGAGCTTTTCCTCGCTTCGACCACGATCTTTTTCGCACATTGTTGTCATAGGTTATCTACTTTTCGTCACTCGTGATCAACCGCTTCAGAAATGGCTCGATTTCGTTACGTTTCAGTAGAGATTTGCAGATAGAAATTCGATCGAGTAAATTTATTTGAGTTAGATCATGTGGCACCCAAACATCGAGCTTCTTTTTATAGCCAGCTTTCTCTAAATGGTTTAACACTGTTTGGTGATGGATGTTTAGGTTGGCGATGTCATGACCGCTTACATGCCAGTCTTGCTCAACTTTTGCCAGAATATCATTCACTTTTTCTGTGATTGGTCGCCCACTGCGAGGAGCATCTTGGACAGCGAAATTTCCTTGCAAAATCTAATCGAGCTTTCTTATTTTTTGCACTAATTAATGGTTTTTTTACATCAGCACGTCCTAAAAGGTCTATTTCCTTTAGACGTCGAGATATTGTACTTCGACTAATATCAGCAAGATTTTCTTCTCATAATTCTCGAGAAATATCCATGGCAGTTTTTCTAACATCTGGTATCGACTTTTTTTTAATTATTTTATCGACGCGCTTTGTAAAGGGTGTTCCAAAATTCATGCAAAAAGTAATTTTGATAGAAAACACAGGTCTATAATTAAAAATTGTAAATTATTTATTAATTCATAAAATATACAGTATAGGGTTATGTATGGAATAGTATATCGGGTAAATAGCCTTCACGGCTTTGCTGGCACATATGCACTCTTTTGTTGAAATTTTCCATGATCATAATTTTGCATAAATGTGGCTGAATTTCGTTGATACAGCGCTCAATTTCTTTCTTCAAGGCGTGGGTGGTCGTAGGCTTGTTGGCATAAATCTTAGACTTCAAAAAACCCCAAAGAAAAAAGCCCAACGGCGTTAAATCGTACGATCTGGGCGGCCAAATCTGATCACCAAAACGGGAAATTGCACGACCAGAAAATGACTCATGCAGTAATTGAATTGTTTCTCGGGCTGTATGGCATGTATGTGACACCGTCTTGTTGAAACCACATATCGTCCACATCCATATCTTGCAATTTAGGCACAAAAAACTAGTTTATCATGTCGCGATAGCGAGCACCATTAACTGTTGTTGTCTAACCAGCCGCATTTTCGAAGAAGAATGGTCCGATGATGCCTGCAGCCCAAAATCCGCACCAAACAATGACACGTTATGGATGCATTTGTTTCTCAACAATCGTGGATTTTCTGAACCCCAAATGCGACAATTTTGTCGATTAACCAAGCCATCAAGATGAAAATGAGCCTTATCGCTGAAGATGATTTTGTTCGAAAAATCAGCATCCACTTTAAAATATTGCTCAACAATGAAAACGCGTTGTTCTTTCATGTAGTACTCCATTTTAAAAACTCTAAACTGTCAGCTGTCACGCTGTCATTTTTTTTCGTTGGCAACACTACCGCACAAATGGCGCAAAATTCAAATCTTGCCTGAATTTTGGGACACCCTTCAGTTTTGCAAAGTCTATCGTTTCGTGGTTTATCAGCTAAAGAGTTCGTCAACTAATATTTAGCAATAATCCTATTTACAATACTTTTGTCAATTAGTAAGCAATTAGCAATTTCGCGAAAAACCTTTCCTTGTTGAGAAAGATTAATCATGGCTTTGCATAACTGAAGACTTATATGTTTCAGCATTGCGGTAGACAATAGACTGAAACTTAGTTAAAGCAAATATTTACGAAGGAGTTTCATAAGAAACGTAAACAAACCGGGCTCATAAAATCATAACAAGAATACGGCTCAATACCTTTGAACACATCTAAATTGTTACGTCTTGCGGACTCCGCGCACTCTAGACTTCTTTTATAAATAAAGGAAATTGAATTTATTATTACTTATTATATGGCCGGATGCGCTCAGGCATGTTATCACACGACGCGATCTCTGGAAGTTTCGGTGCTCCGGAAATATTAATAATCTTGAACCAACTCCGATCTTGTTTCTCACGCGCTTAGTCAACGATAACAGTATCGCGACATCCTTCTTAGAAATATCGATATTTTCTTCTTAGAAATATCGATATTTTCTTCTTAAGATTGCTGCCACGTTTTTCTTAAACAAAAGACTCTCGAAATCCTCTTATTGCCATATGCATCCTATCTCCTACAAAATTATCTTAACCCCTTAGCTTACAATGACGCCCCAGAGGCGTCGCAAGGTTGTCGGACCAAACATGAATAAGACGCCTCAGAGGCGTCGCAAGGTTATCGGACCAAACACGAATAAGACGCCTCAGAGTCGTCGTAAGTCTACCGGGCGAAACATAAACAAGACATTTCAGAAACTTGGTGGGGCGGCCGTCCCAAATATGAATATTATGAATATTGTATTCATAAATATGAATATAATAGGTCACAGAGACATTCCAGAGGCGCGACGTTCAGTTACTTCTCATTCGCATTCGACGTTACATCGTATGTAAGAAGTATTATAAAATCACCCATTATAAATGTCTTCAAAAAGAAAAATTAGAATTGAGAACAGTGATGACATTGCTACCAGTAGTAGTGACAGTGGTAGTGACATTGTACGTTTCGTACGAAAAGCTACTAAGTAACTGGTGATTAGCGAAGAATCCGATAATGAAGATCATTATCAACCACCTGAGTTGTGGGTCTGGAAAAAAAACGAGAACCAACCAAAAATATGGCAATATATGGAAATTCCCGGAATAAAAGAGGCAACATTAGATCAGTTGAGTACAAGCAAAAAGGAAATGGGCGTTTTTAATATAATGTTTAATAGTATATTTTGGGAAAATCTTGTGACGGAGACAAATCTATACGCGAAACAAGTAATAAACAATGAAAATAAAAGAAGAAAAATTGATGAAGCTTGGTTTCCTGTTGACTGTGATGAACTAAAAATATATATTGCCCTATGTATAATTGCGGCTGAAGTGAAGAAACCTGCAATTCAAATGTATTGGTCTAAGAGGGCCGTTATTAGAACTCCAATATTTAGAGAAACGATGCCGTACAGAAGATTTTTACAAATAAGTAGATTTTTGCATTTTGCAAATAATAAGGTGGCCAATAGAAGTGATAAATTAAGCAAAATAAAACCCGTAATAAATTATTTTCATCAACAATTCCAAGAAATGTATACTATGCAAGAGGACATTGCAATTGACGAATCATTAATAAAATTTAAAGGACGCTTATCCTATAAACAATACAATCCGTCAAAAAGAGCGAGATTTGGTATAAAAGTTTATAAATTATGTGAGTCCAGTTCAGGTTACTGCTATAATTTCAAAATATACACTGGCCGTGACAAAATACATACTACAGAAAATGCATCTGAAACTGTGGTCAAAGAACTATCAAAGCCAATTTTACACAAAGGACACACATTATATTTGGACAATTGGTATTCTTCACCAAATCTTTTTGTAACTCTACTCAACAGTAAAACTAATGTCATTGGAACAGTGCGCGCAAACAGAAAAAATATGCCAAAAGATTTCTTGAAAACAAAATTAAAAAAAGGGGAATATGAAATGAGAAGCTGCAATGGATTACTGGCAATAAAATGGAAAGATAAACGAGACGTTTTTATTCTATCTACAAAACATACAACAGTAGCAATGACTGAGCAAATCAAATAGCAACACAATCCTACTTGGAAACCAAAGTGTATCGTCGAATACAACAAAGGGATGATAGGAGTTGATCGACAAGATCAAATGTTAGCGTGCTTCCCTCTGATGAGAAAGTGTATGAAGGGGTATCGCAAAATTTTCTTTTACCTGTTTGACATGGCTTTACTTAACTCTTTCATTTTGCATAACAAGATAAATATTAAAAAAAGACAGAAATATGCAGAATATAAGGTTAAAATAGCCGAATTATTATTGGAAAATACACCATTACCGGACTACAACCGTAAAGGACAGTTGTCAAATGGAGATTTACCACTAAGATTGCAGGCTCAACAGTGGAGTCATTTTCCCAAACATATAGATCCAACGCCGTCGAACCAACACCCAAAACGAAGATGTGTAGTTTGCACAAAGCATAAAAAACGCAGTGAGACAACGTAGGAATGCAAAAAGTGTAAAATTGCATTACATGTACCAACATGTTTTGAGAGATATCATACTATCAAAGATTACTAAATTTTTGTATTAAAATAAAAATGTTATTATTAATGGATTATTCAATTTGCAACAATAAATCTTTTTTTGTTTAATAATCTACTAACCGTAATTATTTATCAAACATCTTGCAAAGTTAATTGTACCGCGCACGTGTATATACAAATCATAGGAAGTTTGCGATT